CGGCTCCGCGGAAGCGCCCCTTGGCGGCGGCTTCCGGCGGGACCCGTCCCCGCGCGGCCTCCGCACGTGACCCCGCCGCTGTCCCCGGCCCCCTGGGAACCCCGCGCTGGGGCGGCTCGGGGGCTGCAGAGCGAACACCGGCTCCCCAGACCCGGGAGGCGTCCTGCTGCTGTGCTCAAGATGTGCGCGATTGGCAATGAAGTTTGAGTTTACAGTGAAAAATAAAATGTGAGGTTTTCTAGGGAGTACAAAGAGATGTTCTGGAGGAAATTTTATATACTTGGAAAAACCTGATCGCAGAGTATTTTCCTCGCTGTGCACCGGAAAGCCAGTGCCTTCACCCGCCCCTCCAGACCCTGTTGTACGATTCCTAACGTCAAACCTGGAGGGTTGCATATGCAACGCATAGAGCGAGGCTGAAACAAAGACTGAAATGAAAGAGGAGCTGTGGCAGAGGGCTGGGGAAGACGCCGCTGGGAACATCATTTTAATTGAAACTTGGAGAGTTACATTATAGAACTATACTTACTCAGTCACGCTATCAGATCCAACAATGTGGCAGCCTTTGACTGGCACCAGGCCAAGTGACCGTCATCAGAGAGAACCGTGCGTCTTAAGTATGCAGCGTGCAGATACACTCGCAAAAAAGGCCTGTTTAACATCAGTATTATTCCGTTAGGGGAAAATATTTTAAATGTAACCAAAAAATAAAAACAAAGGTTTAAAAAAATACCATATGTTCACTACTAACACTGTGCCCCTGCATATTTCTTAAGTACTTTACATATATTTCATTGACTCTTCACAATAATCCAGTTTTATTTTAGGTTCTATTTTCCTCACTTTACGCATGAAGAAATGGAGTTTGGTCTGCTCAATTCTAAAGCCCAATGCTCTTAATAATATAAAAAGATTCATCTGTAATCCCAAAATAATCACTGCTAATATTCCTGAATTTATTCTCTGCCGGTAGATAGTTGTATCACCAAAATGATTCTGCAGTACACCCATGTTCATAGCAGCGCTATTCCCAATGGCCAAAGGGTGGAAACAACCCAAATGCCCATCTACCAATGAACAGACAAACAAATTGTAGTATACACACACAATAGAATATTATTCAGCCATAAAAAGGAATAAAGTATGGCTGCAAGGCAGATGACCCTCTGAAACATGATGGTAGGTGAAAGAAGCCAGACACAAAGCTCACACGTTGAATGATTCCATTTATATGAGATACCCAGAATAAGGAAATACATAGAGACAGACACAGGTTGGTGATTACCAGGGATTGAAGGACAGCAGAGTGGGAAGCAACTGCTTAATCCGCACGGGTTTCCTTTTGGGGTGATGAAGATGTTTTGAAACCAGACAGAGGCAGCGGTTGACCAATCAAATGAATGTGCTAATAACCACTGAATTGTTCCCTATAAAATGATTAACTATGTGAATTTAACCTCATAAGAATATTTTTATAATGATGTCCTGCAGTTTACAGCTTTGTTCCCTGCTTTTTACAGTATATTTTCTGAGCCTCTTTCTACGCCAATATAATGGAACCTCATTTTTCATGGCTGCATATTCTTCTATTGTGAGAATTACCCTAATTTGCATCACTGACTTCCTAGTATTTGACATTTTTACCTATTGTAAACAGCACTGAGATTAATATCCTTGTGTTTATATTTGCAGATTCTTAATTTTTCCATAAAAGAGAACTAGAAGCAAAACTTCTTCATCAAAGAATAAGTATATTTGAAGATTTTTGACATTTATTTCCAAACTACCTTGCTCAGTTTTCCCTGTCACAAACATTGTCTGAGAGGGCATTTTCCTGCTTCATCCATGATAATTTGATATCAAAACAATATCCCATTTTGGTTTTAAATTTTATTCCTTTGATTTAAAAGTTATGAGTTTTAAACTCTGATAAAGCCCTGTTTTGTAGAGCTGAGCAATTTTGAGAAGTGTGTTCTTCTCAAAGAAGCAGGAAGAGGCTGAGCGTATGCTCTGACCTTGAGTCACTCATTGAGGTTGAGAACATGTATTTATCCAAATGAGTACTGTCTTCTTGACAAACATTTATTAAATGTCTCTTATGTGCTGGACAATATATATATAAAGGCACTAAGAATATAGAAATAATAAGATAGGGTTTCTGTATGGTAAGGGCTCAGTCTCATTGGAAGAAAATTATACAATAATTATAATTAAATGTGATAAATATGCAAACAGAAACACCAGGAGCAGCCCTGTAAAATAGTGATCTGAGTCTAATTTTAGGGATGTTGCTTTTGCTGAAATAGTTTTCAAACTGCTTTTTTGGTATCGACTTTAGGATCTACAGCAAATTTTTGTGCATAGTTTTTGTGGTAGTAAATGTTCATTTCAGAGACGGGTTTGACTTTTGGAAATGATTAAATGTTATTTGAAGCCAAGTCTGGTGAATGAATCAGGTGTTGATTATGCTCTTGGGATTATGATTATGTAATTGGGGTTTGGGGCCCCAAGGGGGACACGATTACAACGTCATCAAGTTATTAAACCAATTTCATTAAGTGGCTGCTTGGACTTGATTCCACTCTTTGAACAATATTGCTGTGTCCTGTAGGGCAGTGGCTTTCAAACTTTTTTGACCCAATCCAGTGGGAAATATATACCATAGTGGGAAATATATTTTACATCACGACACACTTACATACAGTTGAAACAAAGATTTCACAAATCAATGTACCCTTACTTGATGCAACATACTCTAGTGTTTTCTAATCTATTCCATTTGTTTTTAATTACTGGGGTGACACACTAAGTTGATTTCATGTGCCACTAAAGAGTCATTACTCACATTTTGATAAACACTGCTCTAGCTTTCAAATCAACTATCTTTCCTCATTAATTTGGCTCAACTGGGGCCGGCCCCGTGGCTTGGTGGTTAAGTGAGCGCGCTCCACTGCTGGCGACCCGAGTTCGGATCCCGGGCTCCCACCGGCGCGCTGCTTCTCCGGCCACGCTGAGGCCGCGTCCCACATACAGCAACTAGAAGGATGTGCAGCTATGACACACAACTATCTACTGGGGCTTTGGGGGAAAAATAAATAAATAAAATCTTTAAAAAAAAAAAAAAATTTGGCTCAACTGTTTTCAAGGAATTCAGGGAAATGACAGAACCTACTGATTTTAAATTAGCTAACTGAATTGATTATTATTGCCACATAAAAAAGTGGATGGAAACTGCAAAGACTGGGAAATGCTACTACGATTCTGAAGAGTTCCTATCATTTCAGGTTTTAGTCTGACTCTTTAAACAGCAGCTTCTGTGGCAAACTAAAGGAACACCCTAATCTGAACCTGAAGTGGAGTACAATTATCAGGCTGCAACGTATTTACCAATACCCACAGGTAATTATCACGATCTATGTAATTACCTTGTTCTTAAAACATGAGCCATGTGCTCATTTTTGCCTTATTTTAAAAAATATTGGTGGTTATTCTTGTGTACTTTTGAGGTTCTGTAATTGGGGAAAATGTTGGAGAAGTTTAATAAGTCTCAGTGTATAATGACAATAATACAGTCTCTTGTATCCAAACAATCTTACCCTTATATTATGATAATGTGATGAAAACAAGTTAAATATGTGAAAAGACCTGTAAACTGTAAGAACAAGACACTTTTAGTTATCATTTATTCATTCAATGATATATAGTGAATGCCTACAATGTACCAGATACTGTAGGACACACCAAATTTGATTGATTTTTATTCAGAAATGGTCTTTTCCCTCGGGAAAGTAATTGCAATTCAGTAACTGCGAATTTGGCATGATAAATACTATGAATAAAGTACTCTTAATAGCACAGAGGGGTGTTTGATTTTCACTTAGCTGAAGGGATCATGAAGAGCCAGGTTTTGAAGGACAAGTAGGAGTTTTCTACATGCTAAGGGGCAAGTACAGAAACAAGGAACAGAAAGAGACCCAGAGGCGTCAAAGGGACTGGCGTGCCCCTGAAATAATAAGTCTGGTTTTAATGAAGGCTGTGCTACTCTGGCTGAGCAGTGGCAATAAACGAGGAAGGTAACAGGTGTCACTCCATTTTAAGAAGTTGGTTCCATTTTAAGTCAATGCTTTCATATGGTATAAAAGGCAATCTCACAGAGAAAAGGAATATTAGAGGCTCTTAGGTAGGGAAGTGACATGATCAGATTTAGCTTTTTACAAAATAATTCTGACAACAATGGAGAGAACGAATTTAGCAGGTCTTATGTCACCGTGACCAGTTACAAATCTTTTGAAACAGAGTAAAAACATTTGAGGGCTTATGCTGGAGTAGAATAATAACAATAACAAGTGTATCAAGCTTTACATAGGTTACCTAAGCTTTTATTCTTTGTTTCTTTTATTCTTTATATTATTTAATTTTAAACCCTATAATCAACCTGTAATGTAACTAGTGCGTACCTATTTACCGATGAGGAATCAAAGGCAGAGAAGGTAACTTGTCCAAAGTCACACAGCAGGCAGGGGCCCCGGGATTCCCATGCAAATCCACCTGCGTTTGGAGCCCCGGTATGTGAACTTGTGTACCTGTAGCTGGAGGAGGGGCTAGATTTGTGAGACGTTTCTCAGAG